ATTCCAGGCTGGAGCCGGGGCGCTGCAGGAGGAGCACAGCCCAGCCTCACACTGACCTGTCCCACTCCCACCCTGAGCTTTTGGGGAAATTTGGGCTGAAATTGGGACCTTTCCCCCTCCTTCCCACGCTCATCCTTTGGCAGTGCTCCAGCAGCACTGAGCTCTGGGGCACCTTATCCCCTGCACGGAGCTTTCCCAGAAAGTCCCTCCGAGCCGGTCGTTCACACCAAGAATAACAGGGCAACCGTCCTGAAAAGAGCTTCCAGCTGGGAATCCCCTCGCCTGATGTTCCGTGTTTGAATCTGTTCCTTCGCTGAAGAGAAAGGGGAAGAGAGAAGCTCTTGGCCTGGCAGAGCTGCGGTTTCCAGTTCCCCTCAGCCGGTGCTGCTCCGACCCCACCTTCCCAGAGAAGGGAATGTCGTGCTCATCCCTGAGCAGCTCCAGACTGGGGTTTTCCTCCCTCAATACCCTGATTCTGCTCTTCCCCATCTCAAACTGCCCGCATAACTCTCAGGAAATCCTGCTGGGTTTTTTCTCCGTGTCTCCTAATAGCTCCCAGCTGGAGTTTGCAAGGGGTTTGAACACAATGCGGGAAACGTTCACGATCCCACTGTTCTCCAAGCAGAGGCTTTAGGAAACTTGCAGTGATTTACATCGTGTATTCCCGCTGCTTTTTCCCCTTTCTCCAAGAAAATCCCCCCAAGATCTTTCAGCCTCCAAATCCCCGCCTCAACTGCCCCGCGGCATCCCCAGGAGCGTGAGAATAATCAAAGCAGCGAGCTAAAATCAAATTACCCTTAAAAAACCTTGGGAAAAAAACCCCAAAAAACCCAGGGAATTGATTTACCCACCCGCCTCAACTGCCCCGCGGCATCCCCAGGAGCGTGAGAATAATCAAAGCAGCGAGCTAAAATCAAATTACCCTTAAAAAACCTTGGGAAAAAACCCAAAAACCCAGGGAATTGATTTACCCGGCAAGGACTGAAGCAGCAGGAGCACCGCGATGCAGAAATTCATCGTCCTCCTTTGGGTGTCGGCTGCCGGAGCGGCTCCGCTTCTGCTCCGTGGGACCTTGCGGAGCCTTCCCCGCCGAAGGAGGAAATGACTCGGGGGGTTGAGCCGAGAAAAGCTCCTCGGTAGCGTGGGAGGGAGCCCGGCCGTGCCCGGTACCGGAGCAGCGCCGGGCTCAGCGTGGAAGTTTCCCGTTTGGGACGGCTGATTCCAAAATTCCAAATCTTGGGAAGTTTTCCCCCCTGGGAGGATCAGTGCCGCTGGATGAGTTCTCATATGGAGAGAGGATGGTTTTGATTATGTTCTAAGGGAGCAGAGCAGAGCTATAAATAGCGAATTCTCCAGGGAGAGAGGGCAGAGATGCTGACTGGGAGTCAGAGCCAGTCCCGACTTCCCGTAAAATCTTGGGGGATTTTTTTGTCTTGGCTTCATTTCCCCTTCCCGTGCCTCAGTTTCTCCGTCAGGAGGAAGAAACATGAAAGGTCGTAGATTTATTTTATTTTATTTTATTTTATTTTATTTTATTTTATTTTATTTTATTTATTTTATTTTATAGTGGGTAAAAACACCCTGGGTGGAAGGCAATAGCAGAGCTCCTGCAAGGATCCAGGTGGAAATGGGTGCAGACCAGAGGAGGAAGGAAAAGGGGAAGTGAAAGAGAGCTATAAAATCAATATTTTTGTGACTCAGAAAGATGAAGAAAGCCAGGAAAGAGCAAGATGAGTCTTGCCTAGCACAGGAGGAGCTCTCTTTTGGGGTGCAGGGCTGTGGAATCATGGAAGGGGTTGGGAGTGGCCTCAAAGCTCATCTCACCTATTGCTGATTTTAAACCAAAGATTTCTGTGGATTTTAAGCATTCTAATCAACGTTAAACCAAAATTCCCCAAATATATATATATATATATATTTTTTTTTTTTTTTTTTTTTAAATCAAGAGTGGACCCAACTGAGGAATTTTTGCAGCACATTCCAGAGCTGGTTCCCAGCCTCCCTGGGGTTCCCCGTGCTTTGCAGAAGAAGCTTCCCCCATCTGTAGGGAGATGTTTGGCAAAGGGTTAAGTGTCCAGGAATGCTGAGCAGGAAGTGAATCTCTTCAAATCCTCCTCTCCACAAGACCCTCCTCTCCCTCCTCCACAAGAATAACATCCAAACTCAAAAATCCCAACCCAAGCAGAAATCTGAACTTGTGAAGAATCCCAGCAGGGCTGGGGCCAGCAGCTCAGCCAGGAGGCACCGGGGGAGCAGGAAAGGGTTAAAATATCCTGGGATTAAAGGAATGGGGAGGGAAGGGGCGAGGAAGGCCCCTGAGGATGGTGATGGCTTATCAGGGTTGAACGGACAAACCCTTGGCGTGGGAGCAGAATTGAGTGGGATTTGCTGGCTCAGGGCTGGGAATGACTCCAGAGCTGGGTGTGATGGCCCAAGACTTGCAAAAATTGGGAAAACTTGGAGAATCCACTAGGGAAAGGGATAAACTTGTTGTGAAGAATCCCAGCAGGGCTGGGGCCAGCAGCTCAGCCAGGAGGCACCGGGGGAGCAGGAAAGGGTTAAAATATCCTGGGATTAAAGGAATGGGGAGGGAAGGGGCGAGGAAGGCCCCTGAGGATGGTGATGGCTTATCAGGGTTGAACGGACAAACCCTTGGCGTGGGAGCAGAATTGAGTGGGATTTGCTGGCTCAGGGCTGGGAATGACTCCAGAGCTGGGTGTGATGGCCCAAGACTTGCAAAATTTGGGAAAACTTGGAGAATCCACTAAGGGAAAGGGCTGAAATGTGCCATAAGGTGCCAAAGGGGGAAACAGCTGCTGTTCCCTGGCCGTGAGCAGCTGGAACTTCCCAGCAGCATCCTGCAGCCCAGGTGCAGATCTCCAATTGTGTTTCTGGGTGGAAAAGGAAACTGTTCTATTTTCCTTCTGGTTTTTTTTTTTTTCTTTTTGCCTTTTTTTCTCACTGATTCTTCACATCTGGCATCACGGAGCAAACCCATTGAAGCCACAGGAAGGAGACAGACCAAGGGCTTTTCCATCTCTCATCCCAAAACCTTGCTTCCTATCCCCCAAATCCCTATTTTGCTTTATATTTCTACTTGTGTCTTTATTTTTTAATTATTAAAAGTTTGGGGTTTTTTTTTTGCCAAAACCCAGCAGTAAAATCTGCCACAACAACACAGCAGCAAGGGATGGACACCTTTCCCGAGGGAAAACTCAACATGTGAACCAAACCAGAGGGAAAAAGGAAGGAAAAGGAGAAAAAAAAAAGAAGGAAGAAGGAGGAGGCTGCTGGTTCTTGCTGTGCTGAGGGGGCTGCATCCCAGGGATGCTCTGGGCACCCAGAGCCTGGCGCTGCCCCGGGGGGCTCAGTCCGAGGAGGAAGGTGCAGCTGAAGCCAGCAGAGCTCGGATGTGCTGTGTCATTTCCCAGCTTTAATAGGCGGAAACGAAACAAGGAGGGAAATTAATCCAGCTCCGATGCTTCCCTGAACAATGCCTCGTGCCCAGGAGATGGCATTCGCAGGATTCCTGCGGAAGAGGCTGGAGGGGACATTGTTTGGAGTTTTCCTTGCAGGAGATAAGAAGATGGATTAAAAAAATCTTCATTTTCAGTGCCCAGCGCTCCCTGTGGCACCGTGAGTCCAGAGGAGGTGGAATCTGGAGGGAGGGCTTTGGAGCCATCCAGGCTCTTCTTGCTGGCTGATGGAATTTTTTAGTCTAAATAAAGTTTTCCTGCTCTTCCCAGCTCCTCTCTAAACAGCAGCAGCGTGGGGGTGGGGGACAGAATCAGAATGGGAGAGGTGAGGGGCTTGGAATAGGGAAAAAATTAAAGGGTAATGAGGAGAGGAGAGGAGAGGAGAGGAGAAGAGAAGAGAAGAGAAGAGAAGAGAAGAGAAGAGAAGAGAAGAGAAGAGAAGAGAAGAGAAGAGAAGAGAAGAGAAGAGAAGAGAAGAGAAGAGAAGAGAAGAGAAGAGAAGAGAAGAGAAGAGAAGAGAAGAGAAGAGAAGAGAAGAGAAGAGAAGAGAAGAGAAGAGAAGAGAAGAGAAGAGAAGAGAAGAGAAGAGAAGAGAAGAGAAGAGAAGAGAAGAGAAGAGAAGAGAAGAGAAGAGAAGAGAAGAGAAGAGAAGAGAAGAGAAGAGAAGAGAAGAGAAGAGAAGAGAAGAGAAGAGAAGAGAAGAGAAGAGAAGAGAAGAGAAGAGAAGAGAAGAGAAGAGAAGAGAAGAGAAGAGAAGAGAAGAGAAGAGAAGAGAAGAGAAGAGAAGAGAAGAGAAGAGAAGAGAAGAGAAGAGAAGAGAAGAGAAGAGAAGAGAAGAGAAGAGAAGAGAAGAGAAGAGAAGAGAAGAGAAGAGAAGAGAAGAGAAGAGAAGAGAAGAGAAGAGAAGAGAAGAGAAGAGAAGAGAAGAGAAGAGAAGAGAAGAGAAGAGAAGAGAAGAGAAGAGAAGAGAAGAGAAGAGAAGAGAAGAGAAGAGAAGAGAAGAGAAGAGAAGAGAAGAGAAGAGAAGAGAAGAGAAGAGAAGAGAAGAGAAGAGAAGAGAAGAGAAGAGAAGAGAAGAGAAGAGAAGAGAAGAGAAGAGAAGAGAAGAGAAGAGAAGAGAAGAGAAGAGAAGAGAAGAGAAGAGAAGAGAAGAGAAGAGAAGAGAGAAGATACTGAACACAGGTGACCCCGCACGCAGGTGACGCTGGGCACAGGTGACCCCGCACACAGGTGACCCCGCACACAGCTCACCCCGCACGCAGCTGACCCCGCACACAGGTGACCCTGCACGCAGGTGACCCCGCACACAGGTGACCCCGCACACAGCTCACCCCGCACGCAGCTGACCCCGCACACAGCTCACCCCGCACACAGCTGACCCCGCACACATGTGACCCCGCACACATGTGACCCCGCACGCAGGTGACCCCGGGCTCCGGCCGTGTCAGGTGTCCCCACGTGTCCCCCCCGTCCCGGCACTGGTCCTACCCCCCCATGGCAGGTCCTCCGGGCCGGCAGGGGGCGCTGTTGGCGGCCGCCATGGGCGCCGCCGTGCTGCTGGGCTGCGCCGCGATCGCGCTCGGGCCCGCGGCCGCGCTCGTGCCGCTCACGGTGGCGGCGGAGCCGCTGCTCGTCATCGTGCTGCTGGCGGGGTGAGCGGGGAGGCCCGGGCGGAGTCTGGGAGGCCCTTGGCGGGTGCTCGGAGCGGCCTGCGGCGGCTCCGGGGGACGCGGGGGCGCTGAGGGAGGCGCGAGGAGCCCTGAGGCTCGGGGGCGGCTCGGGAGCGCGGAGAGAGCAGCGCTGAGGGTCCCGGCGCGGCGGTTCCGAGCTGCCGTGCCTGCCGCTGCCACCCCGGTGTCCCGTTTGCCCTCAGGGCGTTTTTCTGGCTGCTGTCGCTGCTCGCCGCCTCGCTGCTCTGGTCCGCGTCCGCGCAGCTCGGCGGGCGGGAGGACGCGGCGCTGCTGCCGCTCGGAGCCGCGGCCGCCGTGCTGCTGCAGGAGCTCTGCAGGTTCGGCTGCTTCAAGATGCTCAAGTAAGAGCCCGCCCGGGGAGTCCCGCGGCGGCCGGGCTGTCCCAGGGCTTGGGGAAACCAAGCAGATGTTGGGGGTCTGTGTCCAGAGGAACCCCACGAGGTCTGTTCCTTGTTAAACCCCGGCAAGGAGCGAGTCTGTGCTCTCACCGCGGCTCTCCCTTCCCCTCTCCCTGCCGTGGGCTCACGCTCTCTCTCTGGCGGGGCAGGAGGGCGGATGAAGGGCTGGCGATGCTCAGCGAGGACGGGCGGTCGCCGATCTCCTGGCGGCAGATGGCTTACGGTGAGCAGAGCCCGGGGCGCTGCATCCAGCTCTCCTGCCCTTCCCTGAGCCGCCGGGGCTGCGGAGACCCCCTGACCCCGGCTCCCCCACAGTGTCCGGGCTCTCCTTCGGCATCAGCAGTGGCGTCTTCTCCATCACCAACATCCTGGCGGACTCTGCGGGGCCGGGCACTGTCGGGATCCACGGGGACTCCCCGTACTTCTTCATCACCTCTGGTGAGGCCAGGGCCGTGGCATGGAGGAGGAGGAGGAGGAGGAGGAAGGCTCTGAGGGTCCGTGTCTCTCCCCACAGCCTTCCTCACCATGGCCCTGGTATTGCTCCACACTTTTTGGGGCATCATCTTCTTCGACGCCTGTGAGCGGCGCCGCGCCGGGGGCCTGGGGCTGGTGGTGGGCAGCCACCTGCTCACCTCAGGGCTGGTGAGTCCTGGGGGGCACAGGGACCCCCACCCACTCCCCCTCACTCCCTGCCTAGGGCCATGGGTGAGTTACACCCCCAGCCCTTTGGGGTGCCTGGGCTGGAGAGGTCAGTGAAGGATTTGGGTGCAGACAGCTCAGCAGGGGTTTGAGCTGGGTTTCCACTGGGCTGGGCACTCTCTGTGCCTGGGCTGGAGAGGTCAGTGAAGGATTTGGGTGCAGCAGGGGTTTGAGCTGGGTTTCTACTGGGCTGGGCACTCTGTTTGCTGCCCTGGAGGGGTCAGAAGGTGTCACCTGCCTCTCTGTGTCCCCAGACCTTCCTGAACCCGTGCTACGAGGCCAGCCTGGGCCCCATCTTCATCCTCACGCTCTGCACTGGCCTCTGGGCCTTCAGCACCGCTGGTGGCTCCTTCCACAACGTCCTCAAGTGCCTCTCCTGTAAGGGGGGTGGGGTGCCACTTTTGGGGGCTGGGGAGGGTCAGAGCTGCTGGGATGGGGCTGGATGAGTCCTGTTGAATGGGGGCTGCATTCCCGAAGGCTTCCACAACCCCCACCTTCATAAACGCCCCTTTTCCCCAGGTAAGCAGGAGCCTGAGGGCCAGGCCGTGCTCTACTCGGAGCTGCAGGTGCCTCCCGAGGGGTGAGGGAGCCGTGGCCCCACAGCCAGACACTCCTGCCATTGCCTTCACCCCTCCTGCTCCAGGGGAATCCGTGTCTGCCCAGTTCCTGGGGGCCTTTGGGCTCTGACTGGTGCTCCCAGGGGGTTTTGGGGTCTGACCACCACGCTCTTCCCTTTGCTCCCAGACCCTCTGAACACCTTTCCCTCAGTTGGAGGCTCTGGGGAAGGCCAGGGATGCCCTGAGGGAAGTCAGGGCAGGACCCCCCATTTCCTCGTGTTTGTCACCCTGGGGGGGGTCCCTACCCCTGGTGAGGCTCTAGGGGTGGGGGGCACGGGGATGCTCTGCCCTTCTCACCCCTGTTCAGCTCCCAGGGGATGGGAGGTGCAGCGGGGGGTAAGTTATTTTTTTGATTAAAAGTAAAACCCTTTTGTAAAAGCACGAGACACTGTGACTGCTGGGAAAAAGGGGAGGAGGGAGAGGGGTCGCTGCCCCCATTGTGCTCTGCTCCTGGTTTCTTGGGAGTGATGGGATCCAGCCCCAAAGCCCCTCAAAGACCCCTGTTCCCACCCCACAAAGAACCACCAGGAGGGGGAAAAGGGCTTTATTTGCAGTGGGGCTGTGGGTGGGGGGCTGTGGGTCGGCGCGGGCCGGCCCCTCCCAGCCCAGCCCGGGTCAGCCCGGGTCAGCCCAGCCCAGCCCGGGTCAGCGGGAGTGTCCAGCGTCCATGGGCTAGCGGCGGGAGGAAGCCTTGAACACCACGTCCTGTGCCTGCGCCCTCCTGGCACTGCCGGGGCAGAAACCGGCGTGAGGGGGGGTCTCTGCACGGAGCTCGGGGGCCCCCAGCTGCGGGGGTCCCTCTGAGGGCTGTGGGCAGGGGTCTCACCGCATCCTCTTGGCCCCAAAGTGGACGGCGAGGAAGAGGCCGAGGCAGCCGGCGACAGCGCCGAAGACGATGGCAATGACCTCACCTGTGTGGCGCCCGGGGGGGTCAGGGGGGTCCTGGTGTGACCCCCCAGCCCAGCCTCCCGGCCTGGCCCTACCTGTGGAGTATCCCTCTGGCTCTGCAAGGGAAAGGCCGGGGTCAGGGCCAGCACCTTGTGCTCCAGGAGCCCCGGGGGGGACCCTTCCCAGCCCTCCGCTCACCCCTGGGGAAGGACGAGAGCACCGGGCGCTGGTTCAGCTCCTGCGGGGCTCGGAAATTGTCCACCAGCAGCTGGGGCTGCTCCTGCTCGCCCTCCTCCGTGGAGTAAAGGCTTCCCTGGAGCTGCTCCAGCTGGAAGGGGAAGGGGCAGCACTGAGGGGGCGTTCTCACAGCCGGGGGGCTCCCCCCCGAGCGGGTCCCACCTGGGCGCGGCTGATGCGGACGGGCTGCGGGAAGAGGGTCCAGAGGACGCTCTGGAAGCAGGGCGGGGTGGTCAGGGAGCCGTTGTAGCGGTAGTAGCGCTCCAGCTGCGCGGGCAGCAGGTCCCGGATGCTGAAGGAGGGGATGGCCACGGTCTGCCCTGTGGGGGGAGCAATTTGGGGCGTGCTGGGAGGGGGATTTGGGCTTTCCCCCTCCCTCTGCTCACCTGCGTAGCGGATGTTGCCGAGATGCCTCAGGATGTTGTCATAGGCGGGGTGGGGTTCATCTCCCACCTGGGGAGTGAGGGGCGTCAGTGAGGGGCTGGCCCTGAGCCCCCCACCCTGCCACCCCAACCTCTGCCCCGGCTCCCGCTCCCCTTTCCCACCCTTTTCTTCTGCACCCCATCCCCTCCCTGCACTCATTTCACATCCCCGAACCCACTTCCCTCACCGGGACCCCTTTTCCACTCCCTGCAGCAAATCCCCGCGCTGCCATCCCCTTTCCCACACTTCCCATGCTGTTTCCCACACCGACACCTCTCCCCACAACCATTTCCCACACAATTCCCATGCCATTTCCTGACCCCAAACCTATTCCATCCCCATTTCCCGCCCCCAGACCCATTTTTGGAGCTGTCCCCCGCGGCCCCCGGTACCTCGGCGGGGGCACGGTGCCCGTCCAGCAGGTGCTCGGCTCCAGCGGCGTGCCCGGGCCGGCCCCAGTGGAAGTGGAGCTGAACGGCGGCGAAGGCTCGGGGCAGCCCCCGGAGCCGCAGCGACGGCGGCAGCGCCAGCACGGCTGTGGAACACGGGCTCAGCGGGGCCGGGGCACCGGGGGCCGCCCGCTTCTCCCCCCGGCGCTCACCGGTGTGGCCGTTGTTGGCGAGGGTCAGCTCGGGGCTCTCGGGGTGCTCGTAGCCCTCGGGCCGCAGCGGCGGCAGGGACGGGTCCGGCTGTGCCCGCGCTGTCGCGATGTCGATGGGCGACTGCGCCCGGCCCCCGCACTCCGGGTGTCCCTCGTGCCAGTGCTGCTGCCCGTGGGGGCCTGGGGGGCACCAGACCCCCGTGGGACCCCCCCAGCTTCACCCCCGTGGGACCCCCCCACCTTCACCCCCGTGACCCAAAACGGCCTCGGTGCCCCCCCAAAGCGGGACGCGGGTGACATTCCCGAGGGGCTCGTTAATCTGCTGGGGACATTTTTTCCAGGCGGGAGAGCGGGGACAAAGCCGAGCCCGCGGGGCCCGGGGGGGCACCCATGGGTCCCCTGGGCCCGGCGGGATGGGGCTTAGCGGGATTTGGCCAAGGCCGGATCCTAATTGGATTTGGCAGCAGGAGCCTTATGTAAAGGAGCACAAAGGGACCATTGGAGCGAGGGGGGCAAGGCGGGAGGGGAAATGGGGGGCTGCACCCACCCACCCCCGACCTCCCCCCATTTTGGGGGACCCAGACGTCTGGGGACACGTTTGGGGGGACCCAGGGGGGGCTGTGCTCTGCCCATCTCCTTCCCATTTGGGGGGCCCAGGTTAGGGGGGGCTGTCACCCACCCACCTCCCCGCCTTCTGGGGAGACCCCCTCAGCTCAGGGGTGCGAGGGGAGGTTTGGGGGGTGGGGATAAATGGGGGGTCCCTGCGTGGGGCCCCACTCACCCTCGTACGTCCAGTGGGGACCTGCTGGGGAGAGCGGAGGCGTTGGGGTGGGGGGCTCGGCTGAGCCCCCCGGCCCCACATGGGGGCACCTGAGGGGGGCTGGGGGTGCAGCCCAGAGCGGGATCTGCCGGGGGCACCCCGGGGGGACTCACCAGCGGGCAGGGCGGGGGCCAGGCCCCCCAGGAGCAGCAGCACACTCAGCATGGCGGGGGGCAAGGGGGGCCGGGTGCCACCGGCCCGGCCCTAAATACCCACCCAGGGGGGACGGGCCCCCCCGGGGGCACGGGGAGGGCTGGAGGGGCCATGCCCGGGGTGTCGGGCTGAGGGGAGGGGGCTGCGAGCGCTGGATTGTGGGGTGGGGGTCTGTAGGACTGGGGTTCGCGGGGTGAGGGGTCTGTAGGACTGGCCCCCGCCCCCACGTGGGGGCCCACGCGCCGCCCCGCCCCGGTTATGTAACGGCGGGAGGCGGGGCCACCACGCCCATTGGCCGAGCCGCGCCGCCGGGATCGCCGCCCATTGGCTGAGCGCGCGGGGGCGGTGCCCGGCGCCGCGTGCCCCGAATCGCCGCACAGGAGGGCGTGGCCAGAACCCCGCCCTCCGGCCAATCAGCGCCGGGCGGCGGCAACGAGCCAACGGGAGTGAAGGGGCGGGGTCTACCGGCGCGCAGCGGCCAATGGGAGCGGGGCGGGGCGGGGCCCGGCCCGAGGCACGTGCGGCCGCGCACGTGTCCGCGTGGGGCCGCCGCGGGCGGGGCGGGACCGGCACCGGGAGCGGGGACACGGAGACCGGGACACCGGAACAGCGGCACCGGGACACCGGCACGGCAATCGGGGACAGCGACACCGGCAACGGCAGCGGGACGCCGATACCGGGACAGCGATACTGGAGCCGTGATACCGGCACTGGGAACAGCGACACCGGGACAGCGACACCGGCAGCAGCGCAGGTGCAGCCGCGTGCAGGTGGGATGCGGGGGGCCCGGGGCTGGGGGGGAGGCCCTGGGGGTCCCAGCACGGGGGGGATCGCAGTCCTGGGGAGGGGGCGGCAGGGATGGAGGGGGGGAGCTGCTGGGGGGTCCTGGGGCCGGGCTGTCCTTGTACTGGGGGGAGAGAGGCGTTTCCTGGGGCTGGGGGTCTCCTGGGACTGGCGGGGGGGCTGGGGGGG